TATATATATATATATATATATATACGTGAGACTGTTTGATTGAAATATATTTTGACGAGCCTGTCTGTATATTTTCGCGTTAATAAAAAACAGCTTCTGCTGCGTTCGCATGCGTAGAGGTGCCAAACAGGAGTCGTTGAAGAAAAAGCAGAACGCGAGGGAGCAGAAGGCGACGACGACGACAGCTGCGAGCAGGAGTCATCAGCAAGCGATGATTCATCAGCAAGCGGGGCAGAACAAGCCGCCTCAGATGAAGCCGAAGCTCACGCATCGTGGTCTAGTCTCGCTAGTAAGGAAATAATAATGCGCCACCTTGATTGATCATGACTCGATCGACTGCGCACCGTCGTCTCATCTCTCTAGTCTCTCTCTCTCTCTCTCTCTCTCTCTCTCTCTCATCGGAAATTGAACGAGCGTTGCATCGACGAGAGACCGCATGAATACGAATTTAGCTTGCAATTAGATATCTGCTCCAGCTCTCTCCCTCTCTCTCTCTCTCTCTCTCTCTCTCAGGAGGATGAGAGTCTTGCGAGGAAAACGAGTAGCTTTCTCTTATCGCGTGTGCAGGAAGAAGGAGAGAGAGAGAGAGAGAGAGAGAGAGAGAGAAAAGAAGAATCCTCTCTCTTCTTGTTCTTCTTCTCTGTGAAAAGATGCTGCTTCGACCGGCAAAAGAGAGGGGGGGATCCTGTACTCACAACAGTCCCCCCCAACAGTTGTTGTTATCGAGATAAAATTAGACTAATGTGCAGACTACGTACAGCTCCGTTCGCGAGTATTTCTTCGAAGGCGTTTACAGATGCAAGACGAGGCAAGAATATTGCGAGAATTGAACTGAAACGAGTCGATTGAACCCGAAGAAACGTGAAGATTACATATTGATTACACGTTCTAGTATATTATTATACAAATTTCTGAATAATAACAATTATTATTTGTCATCATCATCTCGTCTACGTCCGAAATATAATTTTTTCATAACTCTGATTCAAAGTTGCGCGCTCATCTATTTAATATCGCTTCTTGATCTCGCTACTAATGTCGAGGCGACTAACAACTCGAGTCAGTTAGTCGCACGTTTTTTAGTTTACACGTGTACACGCGATAAATATATATAATTACTTTGTCTTAGTTTTGCAAGTCTACTTTGATTTTATATCTGTTTGTTGCACGAGATGAGATTATCGCTTTGTCGCTTTGTCGAACAAGCGTGATGTTAAAACGAGCCAACAACAGGCTCATCGCGATATATCAGATGACTCGAATAAATTCGGATAAATGTAAAGAAACGTCGAGTTTCCATCTTGAGCAGATAGAATGAAACTACCGTCTCTCCAACAGTTTCTCAATAATAATGTTTAATAATAATCTTTCACGACTGTTGACCACGCGGTTCATTCATCAATTATATACATACGTACGCGATTATACGATTATACGATTACTTACGACGAACGAGGGTGACGAATGTGCGTGATTATATATATACGTAAAAAAAAGTAGCAAATTCTCTCGGCTCACGTTTTTATCTCGTAGCAATTAGTAGCAATGTATGGGTGCGAGTAAACGAGTAAAAAAAATGTACACACGTTGTTGTTGCGTCGTGCACGCGTAGATCTCGATCATCAGTCACTCCGCGAGTCGTGATTTCCCGGACAACGCAAACATTCGTTTCGTCGAAAATGAAGAAAACTTTCCCACTCTGATCGGATGATTTCTCAGCCTTGTACGCGTAGTTTCACTCGAGATTATTTTGACGTACGTCTAAACGTTGTATCTGGCGAAACACTCGGAAAGTCGAGGGGCGGTGAAACACTCTGCGTGTTAAGCTCGTCTCGTCTCGTCTCGTCTCGTTTCGTTTCAATGCAAGTTGGAGAGCTACTCGCTTCGACTTTTGCAAAGTTTGTAAGAAAATTCGGCGAGAAGCGTGACACTTGACTTTCTCTTGTTTTACGTATAATGTATATCAATGTCTAAATCGACACCTACGAGGTCGAGTAGCAACGATTGCAACGATTGCAACGATCAGTCGACCTCGACTTTCTTTTGGTTTCTCCTCCTTTCTCGTCATTCATTCACGATCATCGATCAGCTGGATCGTCAGAGAGAATCGAACGAAATCTATCTGTAACCGGTTCATAGTCTCAGCTTGCCCCACCCCCCCTTTTTTCTGGTTAAACGTTCGCGGTCGTGCATATGCACATGTATCGTTGCATCACCTGCGTGATAATGCTGTGCATCGTACGAAAGAAATGGCTCTTCTGTTGTATAATTATATATGTACATAACGGCAAGTTTGTGAGAAATGAAAAACAAAAACCTAAATGTAAACGTACGAAACGTACGTTGGAAATGATTGACCTACGTGTCGAAAAGAATACGTGCGAGAGTAAAAGTATTAAAGTTACATAAAACTTCTCTCGGAGATTTCTTTCTCTCAGTTTGATGCGTCACGGTTCTGAAAAAAAAAAAAAACTAAACAACTGTGTTATTTAAGAAACTTTCAGCTGATAAACGATTGATTTCTCGAGCAACATGTGCAAGTCAATAATGAGAAATGATCATCAGCTGATCGTTTGTTTACGATTTTGTTGAAAAACCTTATTCGTAAGTGTGTAGGATCGATCGGTGACCTGCTCGAGACGATGTTAAAGAAGACGAACATGCTTTAATATCGTTTCAAGGGAATCCACGATTCGTTTTCGCTCTAATTAACGTTGCGATTGCTGTGCGTCAACTGGAAACGTTCTACCAAAGAAACGTTCTGTTTAGTCGTAATCGGTGCTGTACAACGTTCATTCACGTTGATACGCGACGCGTGCTTCTAGTTGATTCTTTGAACAGCCAACTGTAC